CTACAAGTGGGGTCTAACCAAGGTTTTATTTAACTGCACCATAGCTTCTGCATCCTTGTACTCATTTTAAAGATCAATGCATGCCATCTACAAAGTACCCTGTGTTTTTTTTTCCATTGTGGATAGTGGATAACCCCACACTTGTTTACATTGAACTCCATCTGCCACAGTTTTGCCCATTGAATCAGTCCATCAATATCTCTCTGTAGATCGACACAGAACTTTGTGGCACACCATCACATCCTGCCAATTTGTGTTCCTACCCATTAAACCCTACTTTCTGTTAAACGCCATATCATCAAATTCTCGGCCATGTCAGTAATTTACCCTCAGTTCCATGGGCTTCTAATTAACAGCCTCTTATGCCGAACTTTATCAAATATCTTCTGGATGCCCACATAAAAAAAATCCGTAAGCATTTCCCTGTCCACTATCTTCATCACCTCTTCAAAAAAAATTCAACGAGGTTTGTCAGGCATGACCTACCTGTCTAGAATCCACGTGGCTCTTCTTTAAATGAAAATTTTCAAGGTATTCAATTACCTCATCCTTGATTAGAGAGTTCAACAAATTTCCCACCACACATGTTAAGCTACCTGGTCTGTTATTCCCTGGTTTCCTCTTTCAATCTTCTTAAAACGTGAATTGGCACGTGCAATTTTCCAATCCACTCCTGTATCCAGGTAACTCGGAAAGATTATAGTTGGGGTATCTACAACCCTACTTCCTTTAACATCCTGATGGAAGCTCTCAGGTCCTGGGGATTTGTCACTCTTTAATTCTGTTAATTTCCTCATTAGCAATGTTCTATTTACATTAATTTTATTCAGTCCATCTTCTGATTCACTACCATGTGTATTTATATCTGCCAGGATGGGCGTTTCCACCTATTAACCTCTTAATGGAAGGTGAAATTGTAGAGTGCATCAGGGGTTACTTCTTAGAACAGTACATTACTCAACCTACCCAGGAACAGGCCATTTTCGATTTAGTAGTGTGTTAACAAGGTAGGATTAGCAATCACGACATGGTAGAATTTCAATTGCAATTTGAGGAAGAGGAGTTCAGGTCTCAGTAAGGACAATTACAGAGATATTTAAATGTAGAGAGTCTCCAAAAATGAGCAACATGGAGAGATCTGGGTGTTATTATGGATGAAACATAAAAAGTTAGCAAGTAATTAAGAAAGTAAATGGAATTTTATTGCTAAGAGGTTGGAGTTTAAAAATAAGGAAGTCTCATTTCACCTGAAGTACATGTGCAAACATTTTGGTCCCCATATTTAAGAAAGGAAATACTGGCCGTGGAGGCATTCACTCAGCTGATTCCTGAGGTGATGGGGTTGATGTTATCAACGTTACTAACAGCTAAACAGGTTAGGCCTTTATTCGTTAGAGTTTAGAAGAATAAGGGGTGATATTATTTAAATATACAAGACTCTGAGGGGGCTTGACAAGGGTAGATATTAAGATGTTTCCACTAATAGGGAACTCGTGAACGAGGAGGCATAGCTACAGAATAAGGGGACATTCATTTAAAACTGAGATGGAAAGGAATTTCTTCTCTCAGAGGAAAGTGAATGTCTGGAATTCTCTACCCCAGAGAGTTGTGGAGGCAAAATCCTAAAGAGGAGGTGGATAGACTTTTGAAATATAAAGAAGAAGAGGGCTATGAGGAGCTGGCATGAAAGAAGAGTTGAGACGGTGGCAGGTTCGCCACTTATTGAGTGGCAGGACAGACTTAAAAGGCCAAATGACCTAATACTGGCCCGATATCTTGTGCTCTCACCTTAATTCTGTGTGTCCTCTCTATCAACCAAGTTCACATTCCTATTGCTGGAATTCCTCTTATATTGCATTCCTGGAAAGTCCTAATATGTTTATGATGTGGTACTTTAAGGGAAGCCTCTTTAAATCCATAGGCAGTAGATCTCAATCAATATTAATGTTTGAGTTAAGTGTTTGCTGCAGCACTCACCATTGTTCTGCTTCGATGCTGTGCTAAACAATTGCACCCAGTATGTCCATAACCACTGAAATGCAGTGAACACATAAAAGTATTTAGAGTGTGAATAGTAGTTAAACTAACCTTGTCACTAGAATGTTGTTCAGCGGGGTGGACACCCTCGCATGCAGAGGAAGCAAACACTGTGGCAACATCTGTTGATTCTGATTACAAGTAATCTGTCAAAGACTCAGATCCTGAAATTGTTACCCTGTCCAAATGTGCTTTCTCGTGGCATCTGGTAAACATCAAATTGCAATTAAGCATGAAATATAAGTAAGGACTGCAAAAGGTTCAGTCATTTATACAGCGTGTGCATTGGTGACATTCCTCCATGTATTAATGTATCTCATTGGCACTCTGGTCTCCAATTCAGCTGTAGGATAAAGGTAATTCATGAAGGCATTTAGACACTTGTGTGATGAATGTGGATAAAGATCTATACTCCAATGCTCATTTGAAATCCTGGTGTCCAGTGCTCTTCAGTCACCATTATTACACATCAAAGATAAAGTGCACATTTACCCAGATAGGATGTGACATTGTTTGTGAAAGTAAATACAGATCCCTGGGACTTTGATGATGGTGTTGCTGCAAGTTGACATGCAATTAAATTTGCAGCTTTTATTATCAGCTGACATATTTTCCCGTTGACATTTTATCGACAATCAACAAGAATGCCTTTCTTGAGAACCACTCTCAGGGATACTGAAAGATGTTATATGATGAGCGTCAACGTGCTAATCACTGCCTATTTCAGTGGCAGTGCTTTGATTTATAAAAAGCTCATTCTTCCACTGAGATTATCAGTCCAATAGTTAGAGCACTTCCACTTGTTCCATGGGTACTGGACTGGACAAGGCCCATTTTATATTAGTGTCCTGCATATACTGAACTCGCTGCATTCCCATTGCTTCCATGGGCACTGAGCTGGCTCACTTGCTTTTGTTTTGTCAAACATGAAAATAGAAGACTAAACTGTGCTGAAGTTCAGTTCTGCCAGCATTTCCTGAGTTAATTGGTTAAGCTAAGACTCTTTGTCTGATGGTAGTAATATGCATGGTTCACTCTTGAATAAAACTACAATACTGTGGCTGATGGCTACAATACTGATGGAATGTATTTGGAATTTTCACCATGGGTTGGTAACAGCTCCAGATGATAGCCAGAGCTGTGTGGTTCAATAGATTCAGTAGAAACACATACTTTTCCCCATTCTAGGAGGTGAGTCTGAATCCTGCTCAGGCCAAAGGAAGACTTCCTTCCTCTGCTGGTTAATGCCATGTCAAAGTGCTGTAACACCAATCACAAATCCATCTAGCAGACGTGATTAATTCCAACAAAAGCTTACTACCACCTTCTCAAGGGCAATTAGGGATGAGCAATAAATGATGGCCCAGCCGGCAATGCCCACATCCCATGAGTGAATTTAAAAATAACCTTCTGGCTGAGCATTAGAAGATCAACAAATTGGTGAATAAATCAGTACTGAAATAGGAATTTACACAGTAATGAGGGTAGGCATGGTAATTTATGAAAGGAATAATGTTTCTTCAATCTTATTGAATCTGACTTATAAACACTGTCTCATACTCCTGCACGTACACATAAAAATTGCATTTTTCTCAATCACTTCAAAAAACTTTACAGCCAATAAATAATTTTTAAGAGTAATCACTAATCGTGACTAATGAAGGAAACACAGAACAGTCAATTTGCACAGAAAGATCAAACAAACAGCAGCAGCATGATAATGAGGCGATAATCTTTTTTATGGTTTTGTTGGAGGAATAAACATTAACCAGGACATTGGGACCGCTTCTTCAAAATGGTGCCATGGGATGTTTTATATCCTCACAGGCTGCCAGGGAGGGCCCTTTTTCTCATGTCACTGAAGAGATAACACCTCCAGCAGAACATCACTTTGTACTGAGACAAAAATAGAAGTTACTGGAAAAGCTCAGCAGGTCTGGCAGCAACTGTGGAGAGAAATCAGAGCTAATGTTTCGGGTCGAGTGACCCTTCCTCAGTTCTGAGTTCTCAGTTTTTGTCTCTGATTTACAGCATCTGCAGTTCTTTTGGTTTTTATCACTTAGACCTGCTCTGGAGTATCAGCTTTGGGGTTTTTTTTTGCTGAAGCTCTGGAGTGGGGCTTGAAACCAGATCATGGTGACTCTGAGATAACAGTGCATTCCACTAAGCCACATTCCAGTCACAATGGCATGAGTTGACTTGAGCTTGGGCCATCTCATTCCAGTTTGTAAATGGAATCGGTGCAGAGCGCAAAAGAATTTTGATTTGAAACTAAAACACACAACAATTGCCAATCTCTCTGCTGGATGGTTGGTGTGAGAAATGATAATGAAACAGCAGGAGAAATCTCCTCAACTGGGATTTCTGGTCTGGGAGTAGGCAAGAGAGAACTTCAGGGCTGTAGCTCATCTGTGAAATGGTGATGTTGACACCTTTGTCTTGAGGAGCATAAAAATTAACTGGAAAAACAACGTTTTTTTTCCTTTATTCATTGACAGGATGAGGACATTGCTGACCAGGCAGTGTTTATTGCCCATCCCGAATTGCCCAGAGGGCAGTTCAGAGTCAACCACATTGTTGTGGGTCTGGAGTCATGTTTAGGCCAGACCAGGTAAGGATGGCAGTTTCCTTCCCTAAAGGACATTAGTGAAGCAGTTGGGTTTTTTCCGACAATCAGCAATGGATTCATGGTCATCATTAGACTCTTAATTACAGATATTTTTATTGAATTCAAATTCCACCATCTGCCAAGGCAGGATTTGAACCCAGGTCCCTGGAATGTTATCCAGGATTAACAGTGATAACACCACTTGACCATCGCCTCCCCGTGATTTTGAACTGCTTTGAAAGTTACAGGTGAACAGGCTCTTGAACCCTGGACCCTCAGATTAAAAGTTTGATGCTCTACCAACTGAATTACTCAGGCTCATAATAACCACAGATTTGACTTTCTTTGGCAGATAGAAAATATTATCACACGGATGCAGGATGACAAAGCTGGTGGAGTGATGATTCGAACAGTGAAGAGCTTCCTGTCAAAGATTCCCAGCGTCATCACAGGTGAGACAATATTTCAATTGACTGGGAAATTCTGGGCCAGATTCCCTTAAACTTGGTGCAACTGTCTTAAAATAGCAAGCACCATTATTGGGAGATAGTAAGAACTGCAGATGCTGGAGTCAGAAATAACACCATATGGAGCTGGATGAACACAGCAGGCCAGGCAGCATCAGAGGAGCAGGAAAGTTGATGTTTCAGGTCAGGACTATTGTTTGTCAGAGATGTGGGTCCTGGTCCCATGTCTCATGCCCTAGCTCTCTTAGACTGTCCCCTACATATATTTATAAGAAAATGATAGAAATGTTTCATACAACCTGAATAATAGAACTGTTGCTTTGCTTTTTATGCTCAAACACATTCTGGATTTGTTTTCCTGTGCACTCAAACAATATCTCCTGTCTATCTTTTGCCCAATTATAGTTATAGACAGTCTAGAAAATGGAACTGTCTTTTTTTTCCCCCATTAATCAACATTTTCAAGCTGTGGCCAATCAGCTCCTTGATATACACCATTTTGGCAGAGAATTATACTAGTGACCTTGTCAATATACAATGAAAAAATATCATTAACCTTGCTGGTTTTTAAGGGACTGTGGAGTTGGCTACTATATTTATCCACTTAACAACAATTGCTGCTCGTTATTAAATGTTATTTAATGTCATTATCCATTGGGATACTTGTGAAGGATTAACAAAGTGCTATGCAAATACAGATTTTTGAATATTCATTGCCACACATGAAGCAAAGTATGAGTTGTTTTATTGAGTCTACAAAGAGATGAGAGAGAAATAACATTATTTTGAACCTGAGTGTCAACAGAAATAAAACTGTTTGGTTCGAAATTGTCCTGATTATGACAAATGGAACATACAAATGATAACCGGTTGAAATAAAGTTTTGCCTTTTTATTTCATTGCTACTTTATTGTTCTTTGCCTGGTTGTTTACGACTGTCTGCAGCTCATTAGAGAATGTTACATATCTTTGTGTAGGATGAGATTAAAGGATAAAGGACGCATGGAGTAATTTTAAATTAACACACCCATGGGAAATGGAACAAGCTTGAATCAGGTGCATCTTTTGCAACCTGTTTGATATCTTTATGGGGAACTGTAGGGTGGGTTAGTTTAAATTGAACTGTATATATCTGACCTAAAGCTGCACCCTTACTTTGGTTCATAGTTGTTGATATTCCTCTATTTGGACAGAATAATGCAATGACATGACACACTAGCCTTTTTAATTCTGGCAGCTGGATTGATTTTAATTGAATCAGAGATAGTAGGAACATTGAAGGATGACTGTATGGATTTTACAGGTACACTCAAATCTGGCTACCCAAAATCTGATGCTGTCCAAAAAACAGAGATTTTTGTGATGTACCTTTTCCAATTTTAACCAGGTTGCAGAGATGTAGGCAGGCACTGAAGACTGTCAGTTCAGTACTTGAGCAGATTATTAAAATCAGCAGTGATGTGAACATTAACACAAAGTGCTTCACTATCATTTAGTTTTTCTGCACCCCTCCTTCTTCACTGGATTTTGTTCTGATTTGAATTATTGAGTTCCAATTTTTTTTCACTGAAATCCAGTAAATTCCACAATCCAGTGCAGCCTAATCCTAATGCAGATGCCTAAAGCTGCGGAATTCGAAAGATGGTACTGGTATGTGAAATCAAATTGGGATGTTTCAACTCATCTCCCTGCAGGCACATGGCCAAATGCGCAAAATTAACCACAGATTTCACTCGGAGAAATCACAAAGATAACTGAATTGAAAAGATCACAGTGGTGCAGTTAGGAGTTACTGAGAGTGTTTGTTGCTGACCCTGAATGGAAAGTATATTTTACATTGCTGTACTGATATCTACCGCCTGAATGACCGCAAAATGCACTGTAGCTCTCACATGGGAATTACAGAAAAATCGGATCTCTACCGTCATTTTAACAAAATAATAACTCCAGATAATTCTCCTTTATTTTCTTTGACACAAAGATGTGTGAGGCTGCAAAAATGTTTGCTCATTGATCTGTTGAAGCCATAAGTATGTTTCAAGTAGATTTATTCAATGTGTTATGAGCATCAATAGTATGAGACCAGCGTTGCCGCTTAGAAAGCTAACTAAACCAAGCTTTACTTGCTTTATCTTGAGTGTGTTTTCAAAACACTCTCCTTCCAAAAGTACATGTCAGATCTCATTTCTAAGTAATAAATACAGTGGCGGACAATGAGGACAACAATATAGCAGTACAAGAGGCAGTATCACAATCACTGGTTTTAAGGGAAAGAGAATAAAAAGCGAGAGAGAGAGAATTAGGTGTCATACAAACACCAAAGCTTTTCTCTGATTCTGAGTTCCTTCCTTGTTTTGTTACTGTTTTATTATCAAGATAATACAAATAAATTATTCTGCGGGTTAGTACATCTGGAAAACATCAAAAAAAGTATGTGCTTTGGAAAAATTTAAGAGTTCTTGATTTCAAACGATTGCAATAAGTGCTATTTTGAGATGTTATTACATATATGATCTATGATCATATGATGGAAACTTGAATGTCGCAACATCAACTTTCATACTGAGATACTAGATTGTTCATTGCTTTGTATATTTTTCATTTAGCAGAAGGATTAAAAGCCGAGTGTGAACTTTTTTGGCTTAGTGCCATACAAGTACTCCCCAGAATGGAGCTGAATAATGTACACCGGGGGTGGCATAAGGTTAATCCTGACTCTGTCCTGAGTCATTAGGCCTAAATCTGGGTGACAGTAGACATGCCATAATTGGCTATTCTAATGACTTTTTTAAGTAAGCATTGATTTCTCCTGATAATCACTAACATTTGGCTTCTACTGGCAAGTGTAACAACAAAGTGTAGACTGTTTTCTCTTTTTGAGGGATCCATTAGTATTCAATATCAAGTTTGATTTGTTGACAGTAATCGCTTGGGCTTACTGGATCTATGGATCCATACCAGTGCATGTTAGGGATTTTAAGAAGATTAATGTAAAAGACTCTTCTTTTAAAAATGGTACCTTTTAGTCTATGAGGAAGGCAAGCTTCTTCCTGAGACATATGACTTTTATTAGCAATTGGAACTGCTGCCAGGTTTAATGCAGGAAGCAATCTCCTGCACTAATTACTTTCCATGGTATGAACGAATTCCACTTGGGCAACGTACCTGCGACCAAACTTTTTGCGCACACGTTGTTGGTACTTTCCATTTGTTCTCAGGACAGACATGACACTGTCTATGCTGTGTTTCTTATCTGCTGTATTGATGTCTGGGCCAATTTGGAGAGTGTTAAAATTCTGCCATGTCATGTAGGACTGGAGTCATATGTAGCAGCAAGTTCACTTCCCCAAAGGATTTTAGTGAATCAATTGATTTTTTTCAATTACCTATCAATTTTCATTCTCCTATGCTAGCCCACAGAGATTATCAAGTTCATTGAATTCCTTTTTCCAACTTGCTGGTTGTAATTTGACCTGGACAAAGACGTCCACTTATAAAGCACAGCAACAATATGCCCACTGCAATATCCCAGAAACAGCGCTGTGATAATAACGAAATAATCTTCTGTAATGTTGATCAAGAGGTAAATATTGGACAGGACACTGAGGATAGCCAACCTGCTCTTCTTCAAAAGTAGTATGGCGGAATCTCATCCACTGCGCCCCCCACCTCCCCCCCACCACCCCACCTCCCCCCACCACAAACAGGCAGAGCCTCAGCTTAACATCTTCATTGAAAGACTGCGCCTCTGACAATGCAATTCTTCATCAGTACTGCCAACTAGCAATGGACTTCATTCTTGTACTTAAACCCTGGCATCAGACTTGCACCCAGAAGCTTATGACTCGGAGACAAATGTACAAGCGGCTGAGCAAAGGCTGATAATTCAGTGCCAGTTTATTTTAACCTGATTTTGCTGTTATACTGTTCGTTCCAGAATGACTCAAAGCTGAATGCACAGGGGTTTGGCAGAGAGGATGAAAAAGAGGGGAGCGGTACCACTGGGGATTTAGTCAATAGGGGGTGCAGGATCTTGCACTGCTTCCCACAGAGAGAAGCCACACAGGCGACAGAAGTTAATTCTACAACAATCAAGTTCCCGATTGGGGGAATCAAAGTTTGCAGTCACATTCTCAGAATTATAAAGACAGGTCGAGCCACATGACAGCAAGCTTTGGGAAGCCCTTTTGCATTCATTTGCATTTCATGCTGCACATTAAAAGAATTTAAAACACCAGAATTAAATTCCCATTCTCAATCAAACTCTGCCTCAGTGAGCAATTTTGGAACTGACAGTATAACGGCAAAACCTGCCTGCATGTGGCAGGTGAGGTACCTGCTGGGCTTTGGATGCAAGTAGCCGCTGCTTTCATCTGTTCACCTGTGCCTTGTCAGATTTGAGATTGGATGGCAATAGGTTAAGCTGCATGGAGGATGACCAAGGGAGGCCGGAATGTAATGGGCTTGAATGAAGGAAGATGGAAGTCTTTCCAGCTAAGGGAGCCAGGCTGACTGGCGGGGTCTGGAGGGCATCCACTCCAACAGTGCTTTTGTCTTGCAGGGAATGAGTGCCTTTCCAGGGGCCCTCTAAATATGGCACCAGGCACCTTTGGCACTCGAGGTAACATCAAGCGCATTGACTTCATAACAAGCCCCCCCACCAGATTCACTATGTTCCTCATGCAGACATGTGTAATGAGCTGAGAACCATGTAATAGCACACCAAAAGCTGACCAGCCTCAATACTTCCAAATCCCCCAACAAATTCAAACTACACTTGGGAAGGTTCCAACCACAGAGTAAGGATTGAGGTATCAGCCATAGAGTCTAACTCTCTTTTACATTGGCATGCATCCAAACATGTATGTGACTGAAACTTTGATGCAGGGTTTGTCAACACTGCTACTAATGCACGATTCACAGTTCAGATCACTTATAGTCACAAAGGAAGTTCAGAGAGATTAATCTAAATCACTGCAGTTGTT